ATTTTCTCTCCCTTTGATGGTCTTGGTCGAGCTAATGGTAGGGTTAGAGAGTGTAGGAGTCACTTTTGTCTCAATAGACAAATAAGTGATGGCAGGGGGTCCTCCATGTACTTAGATGCCAAATACACCTCCTCCACACCTTTCCTTGTCAACCCAGCCCCCTTCTTGTCTAATTGAACACACAAAAACGTGGGGTGGCCCCCACTCATGTGGGAGGTCATCCCATTGTGCCCCGATGTGTACAATCGACCCTGAAAGTTGTATTTCTCGGATTATTTTAATTATATTTTATTTTATCGGATCAAATAAAATATATGACATGTTCCAAATCATTATGAAACTTCAGAATAAATATACATTTCCCAACTTTAATTTAGAAGTCCTCAAAATTCATTTCGGGTTGTATCTGATTAAATTACTAATACTGGTAATTGGGTCTCGTTTGACCAATGAGTCAACCCTATGACTTTTTTATGGCCCAACTAGAATATACACCGCCATATACATATTATCTAGACCAAGATGAATATAATATGTAGTCCCGGAAATATCATATGGTCCCCACTCCCAGTGTGGGCCCACGTGATTTCTATTATTCACGTGAAAAGAAATGACAAAAATTTATAACCACGTAAAATTCATTACTCAATTCTCAAGGTTCAATACATAGCTTGATAAAAGTAAACATACTCGGGAACCGTGTTACAACATGGATATGACATGATGGTCAAGTAAAGTATTGGAACATCTCCAATGTCACAATGTGCACGGTGCACATGTGAGATGAGAGAAATAGACACCCAAATATCAATAAGTAAAATATCTCTTTCCTTATTGGACGATCTTATATATTTTTGATAGGTTTTTTCCATGATATCAACACAATGTTTAAACGTAGACATTTACATTGACATTGTTGATAAATAATTACCAATATTATATAAAATCATGGAAAAAAAGAGAAATAAATATCATTGATTTGTTTTCATGTGTCTATCTCTCATGTCACAGTGTTGCATCAATAATGCTTGATGTACACCCTATACAAGGAGTCAAATTTTACCATTTGGTTTACCCCCTTCTTCTCCCCTTCTCTCCATTTATATTGTTCTCTCATCCCTTTTCAGCTTTTTTCTTTATTCTATCTTCATCACCTCATCTTTATCATCTCCATATCCAACACCTTTCATATTCATCATTTTCATCTTTTTCATTTTTTCTTCATTAGCTTCCACCTTCATCACATCTTTTAGCTCACCTACTTTATCATCATCAGAACTGTAGTCACAACAAGTATTGTCGGGAAAATAAACGAGTTGAGTTACCACTAATGGTTAATTTGTTTGTAGGGAAAAGTCAGAACTAAAAAACTAATAATGTTTTGTCAAATTTCGCCATACACAAAAAATGTCTATCTACCGTGATTTTCTTTCATTGTTTGTGAACAAAGACAAAAATGCTGAGAAGTCAAAGTTAAGTTGCACACAAACCAATGTTTGTATATAGACATTGGTTTATTTTTAAATCACATTGATTTCCATTCTTTTTGTAGAAATGTTTGGGCTGCACCGAAACCAATGTCTATGTACCCAAACATTAGCTGCTTGCATAAGACAAAAAAGTGTTTGTATCCATACATTTTTTGTTTTGTGCCCAAATATTGATTTTTGTGCAACTTAATTCTCTGCAATATTTTTTGTTAGTGTTACAAACGCTGAATGAAAAACCGTGTCTGTATAAGACTTCTTTTGTCTTTGGCGAAATTTTACAAAAATATTAATAGTTTCAGTTTCACTTTTCTCCACAGACAAATTATATTGCTCGTATTATTCACCATGACACAAATAATATTTTATATACAACACATACAAATTTATCATTTTCTGATGATATCATTTGCTTTTTTTGAGCAGACAAGAATAAAGGTGAAGATGGTGATGAATGATGGGGAAAATAGTATGAATAGAAGGAAAAAAGAATGAAAGATGAGAGAAAGAAAAAAGAGGGAGGTGAGATGGTTTTACGATAGATAGAGAGAGGGAACGAGGAATGAGTAAAAAAACTGGACCGGGACACCGGGTACACCACCTTGTTGCATGCCCCAATCATTAATGGAGTCTTTTCTTAAAACACGGGAAAAGTTAACATCCATGCCAAAAAGAAGGGAAAAAATGTACCGTTTCTAAGAAAACGAAATTCGGAAGAACTTATTCCAAATAGATTAGGGTTCAAATAGGGTGTATCTCCATTCGGAAACACATGTTCCGAAACCATTTTTTTTTCTTTTTGTAGTCCCCTTTCGGAAGATGCTCTTCCAAATCAAGTTTTTAAATTTTTTTGTTATCCATTCGCATGATGGAGTCCCAAGTGGCACTTTTAATTTTTATTTAGTCATACAAAAATAAAATTATTTTTAATTAATAAATAAATTGTACCCCTTTCAAAAATAAACTACGTATATAAATTGGACGTCTTAGAAGCCGTTCTCTTTGTCTGATCTGAATGTTTCTAATCTGAATTTTTTAAGATCTGATCTGATTTGATCTGAATTTTTCTGATCTGATCTGAATCTTTCTGATCTGATCTGATCTGATTTGAATTTTTCTGATCCGATCTGAATATTTCTGATCTGATCTTCTCTGATATGAATCCTTCTGATCTGATCTTAACTTTCTGAATTTTTCTGATCTGATCTGAATGGTTCTGATCTGATATGATCTTAACTTTCTAAACCGGTATATAATAATATTAATACTACTAATAATAATAATAATATCAATAATAATAATAATATTAATAATAATTATAACAAATTAATAATAATAGCTATTATTATTATAATTATAATTATTTAATAATAATAATAAAATAATAAAAAAAATAATAGTAATGATGATGATGATAATAATAATAATAATAAATATTATAATACGTACCAATAATAATAATAATAATAATAATAGTAATAATAATAATAATAATAATGGTTTGGATCATGGAGCTTAGGAGCTATACTTCCCAATTAGTGGGGTCTGAATTTTTGTTTGTTGGTATTTGCAAATGTGATTCCTAATTAGTGATTAGGGGGTTGGCTTTTTACCCATTCGGATTTCCAACTTCCGAATTGGAAATGCCGTTTTAAAAAATACGATCCGATCCGTTCAGGACTCAGACCCGTTTAAAATTTCTGAATCACGATTTACAGTCTCGACATATGGTTCGTATATCTCCAGAGTGTCCCATGTCGTATCTACTGCCTCGGGCCCTCACCGATATCACCGCTAGAGGATGATTCAACATCACTACTATGTTGTTCAAAGTCGGGATCGTCCGAGTCCTCAGACAAGTTTGTGACGGTAGAAAGTAAATATACATTATGTATACCAATTTCAATAATTTGTAATCACACATAAAAGATTATATTTACATTTTTTGTTTTTTATAAGTTTTATTAAATATTTACTTTAGTCCTAAAAGCTACATGAATATATATTTGTCAAAACACACATGATTAGTCCTATATAGGGAATGTAAAACATGATAGTCCTATATATTAGTGGCATGTTTTAATCATGTAATTAACCCTTATATGTACATCTATTAAATATGCAAAATGCATGCCGGGGGAGTGGAAGTCCTGAAAAGTGGACCCTGCCCAATATCGCCAAATGTAGCCGTAGTATTTGCAAGACCTTCGCCGAAGATCAAATTTTGTGGCTGCGCTATAGAGTTGTTTATAACATCCACGAAAATTTGTATTTCTTCGTACTCCTGGAAAGCGACCCGGGAAAATTAAATCCATGACCGGTCATCGTGGATGGGCCACGCTCTAGAAGCAACGTAGACCGAATTATGAAATTTTGGCATTTTTCCGTAAATAGATTGTATTTCAGAAAATCCCGCTTCTCTTTTGTGTTTTAGAACACCTTCGTATAGAGTGTTAAAATCATCTCCTTTGCTGATGAACAATACTACCTTAGGAGGTAATAAATACTCTATTTCATTATCTTTTGTGATCATAGAGCCAGTCCAATGAACAAGAACTGCAGTATTCGCTCTAGCCATTCGTAAATAGTATAGATTAAGAAATATAAAGTATGAAGTAAGAAAAACTATTCGGTGTTGTGGTGAAGAATTAAGAACGAAGTAACGGTTTTAATATGTGAATGGAGTGTAAAGGTAGATGGAGAATGTGGAGGAAAAGTGAACACGTATGTTTTTTATTAGAGGTGGGCACGCTCCGGTTCGGTCCAATATTTTACCGAACTTGTACCCGGACCGTTACTATTGAAACGGTTCGGTTCGGTTCGGTCTTAGACCTAAATTTTTTATTATTTGGAAATTAGTACGTATTCCGAATGGAGAATGGTTCAACATCTTTTTTTGTTTTTTCCATTTGGAAATGAGCTATCCGAATGGGTGTGGGGTTTTTTATTTGTAGTAGCTCAATAATATGATGTCCGAATTGATGGGCATGCTTGTTGGCTTTTTAGCCATTTTCAACTTCCGAATTGGAAGTAATTTTTTTAAAAAATAATCAGCTCTGCATTCAGAATTGGAACTTCCGAATCCCGTATTTTAGTATCTAAAGGAACCTCCCGTGTTTTTGCATGGCTTCTTCAAAATCCCCGTCTTTTTGTCATTTCCTCTCATTAATGGCCTCCTCGTACATACCCTTCACCATAATAATAAAAATAGACCTCTTTTCCGTATAAGACCATTTGGAGTGGTGCAAGAGTCCAAATGTCAAATGTCAAAAATAGACCTCCTCATACATACCCTTCACCATAATAATAAAAATAGACTTCTGCATTCCAGCGCCGTCAATAAAATACACTCTGCACATTTTTTACATATCAATTTAGTAAAACATTAATTAAATTATTATAAGTAATATTTTCCTTTTAATTTTTTCTCTGATTAATTATAAAATAAAAAAGACACATTTCAATGTAAAAAAAAATAAATTTCATTGTTTTTTTTTCGTTTTTTCCTGAGTGATTTCAAACACATTGGATCATTGGAACATGGCTTTGTGCCGAAAATATCTCGTGAATTCGGCCCCAAAAAGTCTCCCCTGATTGATTTATTCCAATGGCACCATATTCGGATATGGTGACCCAGGCGTTGCATAGAACAACATTCTCTCTAGCACTCCAATTAACACCCCTTTTTGATTTATTCCAATGGCACCAACAGCAGTCGGATCTTTCAAAAGTTTTTTTAAAACAATAACCGTTTCTAGTGCATGATGACATCATGCTGACGTCAACGTGACGTCAGCGAGGGCAAATAATTCGGCTCCAGGTCTCTGTTCCCCGCCCGCGCACAGCAGGTATGCCCCCACTCCTCCCCAAACCCATTTTTAATACCCTCTGCACTCGACCAATGTATGAAATTAGGAGTCCAAAAATGCCATTTTAACATTTTGGACTCGTAATACTCACCACTCCATTTGGTCTAAAGGAATTGAGCAGGATTTCCATCAAAAAGATCTGTAAGCCCATATGGACTTGAAGGGAAAGCCTGTTGACCATGGCTACCGCATGCCAGCTGAGTGGGAACCGCATTCCCAGTGCTGGATCGGCTGGCCAGTAAGTACTATTGTAACTCTTCTTTCTTTGTTTACTTCAATTATCTTGGAATAGTATTTCGTGCCGCATGTCAGGTTTGTTCTCATGTTATGGCTAGATCGATTTTCCTGATATTGAATTCTGGGTTGGTGCTTCTTTGGATTTGAAGAGCTAGCTGAGTAAATATAACTTTTGGGAGTCCAGAGTACTTCTGAGCTGCGTTAAAGAATCATCGAAATGTTATAGGGTCCACTACTAACTAGTTCCCTTCAAATTTTATGAAAATTCAAATCTTACACCTCCAATTTTCTCCAATTTATGTATTTACGGATGGCAGGAACTCTACAAGGATGATTTTTTATTCTTTCAGTGAGATTTTGGCCTAGTTTCTTTTAGATAAAGTTGAATGTATAGGTCCAGCAAAGAGAAAGCCTGCTAAGTGCCAACTACCGAAATCTGTTACTTATTGTCAATTATTGTTTATGAAATTCGTAAGTTGACATTTATATAGCATTAAGAGCCCCACACGGAATATTTAAGAAACATATGGGTTAATAAGGTCTTGTATTAGACCAGTTAATCGATTAGATTCAATCTTTTAACTTGGTTTAACCCAATTTTCGTCATGGTCAAATTGAGTGAACACAACCCAATCTTAAATTCCATTAGTCACTAGCTTAGTTGCTTGTTTGGATGTCAAATGCCAACGCCCTTGGCCCATTAGTCCTGTATGCATTTTGAGCTGATCCAAATCCAATCCTGCTTGAAGGTTGCTTCCCTAATCCACTGGCTAGTGTAGCTTTAGTCCAGCCAGGAAAACACACAAATAATCCTGTTCCTGATACTGTTATTTATTTTTCTACCCTATGCAGTGATTGATACCATTGTTATTTGAGTTGTAGGAACGGCCAGATAACTGGAGGGACAATGCTGTGCACGCTCAACATGTATTTGCTAGTGTTGCACATGCTATCTCTAGATTTGAACCTGTCACTGTTTGTGCTAGTTCAGCTCAGGTTATATTTGAAAGAGATCAAAACAATCCTTCTTATGTGATAAGTAGCAATGCTCACGAACTTACCCTAATCCTAATTTGGTTACTATCTGATCAGTGGAGCAATGCACGTCATCAGCTACCAAAACATATCAGGGTTGTTGAAATGAGCTTAAATGATTCTTGGTTTCGAGATTCCGGTCCTACTGTGACTCTCTCTCTCTCGTTGTTTTAAAGCTCAGTTTTTATTTTTTATTTTTCATTTGTTTGACCTGTTATGGTATGTAGTTACCATTTTAAAATGTTCACCTCAACCAATTGCAGTTTGTTGTTAGAAAACATACAGAAACATCTCAAATTCTTGAGCCAAGTGTTGCAGGGATTGACTGGACCTTCAATAGCTGGGGAGGTATGCCTTCAAAGTTACACTTGCATTCCTGTCATAGTTTTTTTTAATTCCTGTTCTTTCAAAATTTTATGTAACTGTTTTATTATGTGGTAACGCATTATGTTATGAAGATTAAGGAGAATCCTGCCTCCAGCTGTTATATTTTTACTTTCTTGTCATTTGGGGAGACTTAAGGCAGTGTTGCCTTAATAGCTTCACATATCTTGGTAATGCTAATCACCACTGTGGTTTCAATGCACTTTAAGTGTATTACGCAATTTAAATGCTTTGTGGTGCCTTTCCCTACATTGTTTTCTTAAGGTTCTTTGTGGAACTAGAAAAAGGCTAGGCGAAGTTTTTTTTTAGCAAATTTGAAAGGAAGAAAACATGGGCAGACAAAATTGCTTCACTCAATAAATTAATTTTAGATATTTGTTCAAACTCATTCTATTTCATCATTTTATATCATATAAAGATTATAAAATTTTTTTACAGTGGTAAAAATTTAAAATTTAATCAAGTTTGGTTTTCATTTGTATTTGAGTATTTTCCATGGTAAAAAGAAAACATTTACAAACTTTTTCCATGGTATTATGTTTTCTTTTTCCTAACATTTTCTGAATTCCAGACACAGTCTAAGAAGATAGGATCTCTAAGGTTTTAGCCCCTACTCCTGTAGGGCATTTCAACTCTTTGGTTGATATCAACCAGTCTCATACTTTTTAGTATTTGGTATTCCTCTAAGTATAGCAGAGCCCAACTGGCTGATATTCATCCAAAAGTATTATAGGTTTACAACTCACTTTGAAGATATTCTCTCAGGGTCAATGTCGGAATCTGGAAAATTTGGTTTTACAATAACCGTTGTGTTCGGTTAAACGTTATAGGTGCATGATGACATGTATCCTTTATCCTTATATGCAAGATCTGGGTCATATTGTTTTTTGCAAAATTTCATAACAATGACATTAGTTGTCAATTCATTCTCAGGAGTTGAAGATGGATGCTATGCAGACTGGAGTCACGACCTTCTTGTTGCAAGGAAGGTATGTCAAGAACAAGAGAACCCCTGCTCAACCTTGCTGTAACACTGCATGTTTGGTTTCCTTATTGATTTTATTGCGTCTATGTTTGGAACTCGTAAATAAGGAAAGAAATGCTATGAAAGTGGTTTTTGTAATGTTTGGTTTTATATAGGAAAATACGGAGTATGAAGGAACATCAAATTTGATAAGAACTTTGAAAACATTGCATGAATTTAGATTTCATAGTCTTCGTATCACAGAAATATTTTAATGGATTGAGCTTCAACAAATATCAAAACTTGATTTATTAAATCTGGACTAATTTTGCACCCCAAAAAAATCACTTTTCAAAATTCTCATATACTTTCCTTCTTTTTCCCCATCTCTAGTATTTCTTGGGTTCCAAACTGTTTTCTACTGTTCATATCAGATTTTGTCCATTGAAAGGCTCCCCAGGTTCCCTCATACTATGGTTCTTGAAGGCGGAAGCATTCACGTAGATGGAGAAGGTACATCTCTTCTTTCCTGTAAAATTCTTTTTGTTATAGAATGGAGCCTTCTTTTACACCAGGAATTCATGGGTTTGATCAATTTGTGTTTCCTTTAGGTACTTGCCTCACTACAGCTGAATGTCTATTGAACAAAAACAGAAACCCTGATATGTCTAAAGAAGAAGTTGAGACTGAACTTCAACAATATCTCGGGGTTAGCAAGGTCATTTGGTTACCTCGTGGGTTATTTGGTATGTTTTCTATCTGTTCTAATGCAATGCTTCACCTTTTTAGAATTTGTTTGAATACTATTGGATGGATGCAGTTAAAATTTATTTTTCATGGTGCATATATGGAAAGAGTTGCTCTGGCAAAATAAAAGAGGTTCAAAGTATGTATAGTGATTTGCTTTTCTTATTCTCCTGTTAGCTATGATATTGTGGATTTGATCTGAAAAGGCTTAGAAACAGTGACATATCTAGAAATCTAGTTTTTCTTTTGGCACCTTCGGTACAAGTGGCCCCAAAAGGCCCCACAAGATGACCGGATTATATTTTCCAAATACAAAAATAGATATAAAAGCATAAAACATAAGGAAATGTTTCAAAAGAGCATTTAAAAATCTAAAAAAGATTTACAGTATGAGTTTAATTAACATGTAAAAAACATTACCATTTAGGCATTTAGCAACATGATGGTAGCTCTGCCACTGCTCAGAAATACCCCATCCGTCTTATTTTGGATGGTTTACTCATAGAGGCAACTGGCCAGAGTGCAACATTGAAACTATTTACAATATATTAAGAATCTGTGTGAAAAGAGCTACCAGGCCACAACCTATTTTAGAAATGGTCTAAAAACATTACGGAAAATAAATGTCAAAAGAAGAATGGGCTTGACACATTTAAGCAGCACATACGACGGTAAGACAGACAAAATGAGCAACAATAGTACATTTGAAGGGATTTCTTTCTACATTACTTCCTTGTTGTGGTTGATGATTCAAAGTTTTTAATTCCCTGAAACCCAAGCCTTTGATACTAATTAACCACAAAAGAGCAAAAGAAAAATATGCTTTTGTATTTCTTCCCTTATTTATAAATGTTTTTCGTTTAATTGCAGGTGATGATGACACAAATGGGCATATAGATAACATGGGCTGTTTTGTGAAGCCTGGGGTCGTTTTATTGTCTTGGACTGATGACAAGGCAGACCCTCAGTATGAAAGATCCTTGGAAGCTCTTAATGTACTCGAAAATTCTACTGATGCAAAGGGTAGAAAATTTCAAGTGATAAAACTCCATGTGCCCGACCCTCTCTACATGACAGAAGACGAGGCAAACGGTATATACAAGGTGAAGTGTTGAACATCTTTGCTTTTCTTTTTATGTCCAGTTTTCATGAACTCATAATAGCTGGTTCAACTGTATATGCAAGTAAGGGGGTTCATTTTGGGCTTGGCTCGGAATATCCTAAGGGCCTGTTTGTTAGCATTAGTTAAATTTATTTTGATTATCTGAAATTCTGCACAATAAGCCGAATAGGCAGCTTTTGACTAACTTGTTAGGGCTACAATTTCTTTCACAAACCAATTTTTCTTTCAGAAAAATTCAGTAGAATCAGCCATTTGTCAAAAACCCTTACCGAATGGACACTAAATCGTATCAAGGAAATTATGTATTGAAATAAAGCTCAACTTAAAAGTTGTTATGTTCGTCTTATTCTTATTACTTATCGTTTATTCTTATTTTATTCAAATAAAATCATATCAGAAAAATTAAGATCAGATCAGATAAAAACATTCAGATAAGATCAGAACCATTCAGATCAGATCAGAAAAGTTCAAACATGATTCATCACTTTACTTATTATTATTATTATTATTATTATTATTATTATTATTATTATTATTAGGGAAAACTGTCAATTTAGTCCCCGGGGGTACTATCACGAAAAAGTCAATTAGGTCCTTTGCTGGTGATGTGGCGCACACGTGGACCGCCACGTGTCACGTCAGTGGGTGACCTGTTGACATGGCAAGTAACCTGCAAATGGACTCAATTGAACGTTTTTACACAGTTTTTACTTATTATTATTATTAGTATTATTATTGTTGTTGTTGTTGTTAGTGTTATTATTATTATATTATTATTATTATTATGATCATTATTATCATTATTGTAATTATCATTGTTTTAATTATTATTATTATTAGTTATAGCTATAATTATAATTGTAATTATACTTACAATTATAGATATAATTATATTACAACTATTCTCAAAATTATAATTATTGCTATAATTATAATTATACCTATAATAATAACTTAATAATTATAATGATACTAAGGATGTTTTTACTTGGACTGTAATTCCTCCTAGACCAGTTCAGACTAGACCAGACTTGGATAGTTATAAAAATACAAAGAAACCAGACCAGACCAGTTTAGACCAGACCAGCAAATTACTGTCCAAGTAAAAACATCCTAATACAACAATGACAAAAACAATAATAATTCAGATTAGATATCTTCAAATCAGATCAGAAGGATTCAGATCAGAAAGATTCATATCGGATCAGAAAGATTCAGATCAGATCAGAAAAATTCAGATCAGATCAGAACATAAAAAATTCAGATCAGAATGATTCAGATTAGGTGAAGAGAATAACTTCTTAGTTTGGGTTCGATTTAGGTTTGTTTTTTGTTGGGTTTTATTGTGCTTGGTGTTTTTAATATGGATTGGGGAAGATGTTACAGAGCTAAAACCAAATTACATGTGAGCAGGGGGTTACTGGGCTAAAACCAAATTACATGTCGTTCGGTTTTGGTGTCAGTTAATTTGGATTGGTTTGGTGTGGTTGCGTTAAACTGCACTGAGATGCCCATCTTTGCGGATGCAACAGGCCAATTAGTGGGAAAGTTCTTGGAGATCTAAAATTTGAATATTTATTTGAAAATCGTAAATGAATAATCTTTCGCTTAATCCTTTTCATTTTTGTTTGGCCCTATTACTAATTAGGAATTTGCATCTTTGAATCAAAACAGGATGGCGATGCTAAACCAAGGCCTCATGGTACACGGCTTGCTGCTTCATATGTAAACTTCTACATCGCAAACGGTGCAATTATCACTCCTCAATTTGGAGATAAGAAATGGGATGATGAAGCAGTTCGGGTTCTCTCACTTGCATTTCCCAATCACGAGGTAAGTAACATCGCAAACCACAATCACCCCAATAGATCAGGAAAGAGCCCGTTTGGTAAGTGTGCAATTTGGTTCGAATGGCTGAATTTGTTGAATGTGCTAGATTATCTAAAAAAATAATAAACAAAAGGAGCAGCCATGCACAATGGCGCCCCCACAAGGTGAGGGGCTGGGGAAGGGTCCCACCACACCGTGTATCGGGGGGCAACCCTTCCCTCGTCAAATTTGACGAGAGACTGCTCCCGAGACTCAAACCCGTGACATCTCCGTCACACAACACTTTAACCGGTGCGCCAAACTCCCCTTCTATTTCAAAGTATATACTTAGTATATATTTGAAAAAAATTAAAGAAAAATATCGTAGTTAGGGGCATGCTAGACACTGACTCACCCCAAATTTGGGGGAAAACTTGATTATACATGTACAAATTTTTGTGTAAAAAAATATTAGAAGAAATTCTTTGTACCACCCTAGCGCTATTTATACCTCAGGGGTAGGCCAAGTTTCCTTATACCCCCCTTTTTTTATTGCAGACATTTCATAAAAAAGCAATCACTATTACTTTTTCGCTATTACTGGCACACTGAACAGGGAAAAATGAAGCCTGATCTAATTTTTCTATGCCATTGGCTCACTATAATTTGTCAAGTGCAGTATTTATATAAATGAGAATGCTCATACTTCTGCTGAAGTAAATGCTGACCTGTCATGGAATTGTTTGGCACAGGTAGTAAGAATAGAAGGTGCAAGGGAGATCGTCTTGGGGGGCGGGAATATACATTGTATCACGCAACAGCAGCCAGTGCTGTGATCATGAAGGCTGACAACCGCGATGGTTCAATCTCTGTTTGCCTGTTTACTCATATAAGAATTACTAATACAATGATGAAAGAAGAGTTACGGGCTTCCCTGATATGTGGTACGGTCTGCTGCATTTTTATCAAAGTTGGCACATCTTAAGTTCTATTGTGATGTTCAACAAATAAATGCCTGTCAATTGATGTCAATGTGAATTTGATTCTTCAAATAACAAATATGGTATTTTACTACCTTTTGCCCAAACACGGCTGAAGTATAATTTATTAGTTTTCTTGTCCTACACAACTAACACAAGGTTTTATATCCACAACTCTTTCCTAATAGTTTAGGCCCTCAGGATTAATAGGGACTGTTGGAAAAATGTGTTAAAAATTGCATTAAATGGTCATTTTGGGGCAATTATTTGAGTGGGGTCCACTTCCGATTTGGGTCGGGTCAAAGTGGTTTCGGATTGTCCTTGTTAAGGGCTACAATTCGATATATGGTACGCTCAAAACGGATAACGGGTGAATGAGAAATTGATTCTCGAAGTTCGCTCGTTGTAATGGAAAAACTGGGAAAATGATGAGTTTCTAGTGTGTTTTATCCCACACCGAAAAACTCAAGGGATTTTCACCCCCTTTTAAAGGGAAGCCTCTTTTAAGGAGTTAAGATTCCTAAAGGAAAAGGCTCTCTCTTACGCGCAGGGGGGGTGCCGATCAAATCCCGAAACGGAGAAGAAAATCCGCGACTCGTGTGCGCGGGCGACCTGCGGACACGAATGCCGTCCAAAAATCTATTTCTCAAGAGATACGGTTAATTTTTGTTTTCTTCCCGAACGTTTTTTCCCAGAAGGCCTCGAACAGAAACCCTCCAAGGGAGTTCTGTTGGCTCCGGACAGAAGGCCTCGAACAGAAACCCTCCAAGGGGGTTCTGTTGGCTTCGGACAGAAGGCCTCCAACAGAAACCCTCCAAGGGAGTTCTGTTGGCTTCGGACAGAACCCCTCCAAGGGGAGTTCTGTTGGGGTCTTCTGCCGCGCACTTCTTCCGTTACAACAATTAATGCCCAACGTTCTTATCGTTTAATGCTGCGTTAAATGGACAGTTTATGGACGATTCAATGCCCAACGGACTGGTCATTGATGTCCAACGTTCAGGTCCATTAACACCCCATTTAACACACAACAAATCCTCCTATAAATAGCTGGCAGGTGCTTTGCAACAAACACACGGTTGGACAACGCACAACACTTTCCTCACGTTTTCTTGAGCTAAAAACTCTTCCAGCTACTCCAAAAATCCTTCCGTGTTCATACTTGGTTCTCGTTCGCTGGAACTCTTGTTTGTGTGCTCAAACACTAGTTCGTAGTCATCGTATCCTGGGAAACGATTGTTGCAACGCTCCTAGCACCGTGGGAGGCAACAAATACGTTTTAAGGAAATCGTGCGTAGCACGAGCTTTGGCTAATTCTGCTTCATCTCCTTTCTTGTTTTCCTCTAGTCATTTTATTTAATTAATTTATTTTAATTAATTTTCTTTATTTTCCGAAACACACTCAACAGGGACAATATAGAGCTGTGAAATTTCCAAGTAGTCTTAAAAAGGATGAGGAACAAGGATAATTTTAGTATGCAGTTGCCATTGTCTTAAAAACAGCTTCAGTTTTTCGAAGTATAAATTTCATTTGTTTTTGACAATCAGATATTGTCTTGGAAGATTTTTCTTTTCTGAGAATCTTTTTTTCACCTGAGTTTTGAGCTACTTTTGAGAATTTCGAAATTTGCAGCGCATGGTTACTTTTCAATATGTTTTTTGTCAGCTGCTTTCATACCTTGCTATGTGCGGAGTAAAAGTTACTCCCTCCGTCCCGCTAACAATGGGACAAGAGGGAGTGACACACAAATTAATAAAAAGTGATTTATGTGGTTGATATTGAATTGATAAAGTAAGAACAAAGTTGAAATGATTTAAAGTCACACAAACTTTACCAAATTTGGTATAAGACAATCTTAGTGGGACGGACCGATAAGGTAAAATGAGATAATCATAGCGGGATGGAGGTAGTATATACTAGTACTCCGTATTATTTTTTGTTACCTCCAAACGAAATTAATACTATAGAACAATTTGCAAGCAAACTTTACCCAAATAAAAATCGTTTCGTGTGAAAATTGATTACTCCTCCCGGAAAATTCTTCCCAGTTCGACTTGGATCGGAGTTTAAGAAAGTGAGAATAAAGTGGAAATGTATGGTTGTGGTTGAGTAAAAAAAAGGTAAATGAATGGTAGTCATACAAACTTTTCCAAAAAGGAAAACGAGAAGAATTTTTTGGGACATCCCAAAAAGGTAAGTGTGAAGAATTTTTTGGGACGAAGGTAGTATAACAATATATTATTAACCGGGATAATTTGAGTTTGCACCCCAATTTATTGTCCAAATTAAATTTTGCATCTAGTTTTAACATATTTTTAATTGAGGGGCATTTTTGTCTATTTATATGGGGTTGAGGTGCAAATACAAAGTTTTTTTAAAACGGTGTGCAAAGTCTAATTTGGACAATAAAATGGGGTGCAAAATCAAATTATCCTTTATTAACCTGATTTTTCAGTTTTGCTGATCACACCTTAAGCTTCTCATATTGTTTAAATACGTTGATAAAGAAATTGAAATTTAAGACCTCTTTATATTAGAGATTAGAAAAGAAAGAGAACATCAACACATACCCTTTGTTGCATAAATTGTAATGAGAATATGGTAAAAGGCTAAAGTGGATAGGTAAGCGTTATTTTCTGTACCTAAACGTTGTTATGATGTTTTAATTTAGCAATTAACTAATATGAGAAATGTAAAAATTAACTACTTTTTTTTACTTTAATGAGCAATGTAGCAATTAACTAATATGAGAAATGTAAAAATTAACTACTTTTTTTTTACTTTAATGAGAAATGTAGCAATTAACTAATATGAGAAATGTAAAATTAACTACTTTTTTTTACTTTAATGAGAAATGTAGCAATTAACTAATATGAGAAATGTAAAAATTAACTACTTTTTTTAACTTTAATGAGCAATGTAGCAATTAACTAATATTAATATGAGAAATGTAACAATTAAGTAGTTTAACTAATATTAATATGACAAATGAAACAATTAACTTTAACTACTTTAACTAATATTAATATGACAAATGGAACAATTAAGTAATTTAATAGATAAACGAGAAGTCTAACAATTAACTACTTTTATAAAATGTATGAATGTGTATAAGTCTATATCAATGAGTATAAGTATATATAGTATATATAATGTGTAAATATATTATATGTAATATATAATATAATGTATAACTATATATAGTATATATAATATAATGTGTAAAGAATTATAATATGAATGTGTATAAGTATATATTTATAAGTAGATAATTAATATATAAGTAGATATAATAATTATATAAATTATATATATGTAGAAAGAATTTGGAAAAGATGAAGAATGAAGATGATTGAATATGAGAGATTGAGAGAATAGAGAATTTAGAGAGTAGGAAGAGTTGTAGAAGAAGAGGTGTAAAAAAAGTATAGAAAATAGGAGTATAAATAGGTTTTTTGTATACCCCACCCCCACCCCACCCCCTAACCCCCAGACCCCCCCTCCTATGCTCCCAACGGCTATGGAGCCTTCTAGTATTTAATTTTTTTAAAAAAAATGTGACCGTTGCGGCCCGGACCGAGCCCGGCCCCGGCTCGACCCCGGCCGGGCCGGGCCGGTTCACTAAAATGCTGGCCCGGGACCGAACCGCTAGAAGACCAGGCCGGGTGGCCCGAACCGGGCACCAATCGGTTCACCGGTCCGGTCCGGGCCCGCACAGTAGCGGGCCGGTCCGGTTCCGGGCCGGTTGGCCTGGCCCGAGTCCATCCCTAGTTTTAAACCTTTTTTATTAGATAAAACACCTTAGCTATTATTATTAAGAAACAATGACATCAATATTACTCCCTAGGTTTCTAATTCCAAAAATATGATCACATTATGTTTTCTCAAAAAAGTGACCGGCTCCCACCCGTCTTCCGCGTGAAAATGAGACAAGTTACCCCCTCTGCGCATCTTCATTCTAGATCTGCCCATCTTCATTCCAGATCTACTAGTTCTCCCATCCACCAACATCGCGTATCATCTTCACTCTCCCAGTTCTGCGCATACACCAGCTGTCGCCGTCCGCTCCAGATCCGCTCCACAAGCTTTGTTCTTCCGTCGTGTCTGCTCCAAATCCGCTCAAATCCGGAAGATGACGGGCGAAGCTTGGATGAAGGACGAAGTTTCGGAGATGGCTCCAATGGACGACGAGCGAAGCTTGGAATCCATTGACGACGGTCGAAGCTTGGAATTCATTCCTCCTTCTGCTATTTCATCCCTTCTTCGATTTATCCCTCTTTGATGGTCTCCATCGCTAGGGTCTAGAGGACTGGTTGTTGGGGCTGGGGGCTGGGTGAGGCATGGGGGATCAGGTGAGGAGGGGCTGGGTGGGGTTGGGGGTTGGGTGACGCAGAGGAGTGGGGTGGGTTAGGCAGGGGGCTGGGGTGTCACAGGGGCTGGGTGAGGCGGGGACTGGGGTGTGGTGGTTGTTAGCGGTGGTTGTAGGTGTTGGCCGGAGGTGGTGGTTGCCAATGGTGGCCGGTAACGGTAAAATTCAGTTACCCGCTGGGAAGGTGGTGGTAATTGACCGGATGACAGTGGCCGGAGTAATTTTGTGTCAGTGTTGCCACCAGCGGAGGTGGCGGGACATCGAAGATGTCACTGCGGCTAGAGATATTACTGCAGAAATGTCACTGTGGTGTTGTCACTGCGGCGGCGTCATTGTTGCGGCGTCACTATGGTGGTGGTGGCGGCGTTATAGTTGGCGTCAAAATTTTGACAACTCTTGGTTGGCGTCACTGTTTGTTTTTCTTATCACTAAGAGTTGTCAAAAATTTTTGTAGTGACATCATATTTTCTAATTCCAAATATGTGACCTTGTTAATCACTTTTTTGTCAATTTTGAAAAGTACTCACATTTTTTGAAATTCATTGCAATTTAGTAATATTAACGGAATAACCCCTTTAAAACTAAATGGAAAAAATTCCACTTTTGGTCCCATCACTATTATACCACTTTCACATTTAGTCCTTTAGTTTCAGATTGTCCACATTTAGTCCGTGACCATTATCCCCTCACCACCCCTCGTCCTTCTGGCCAAAATTCTAGCAAATTTAGTCCATTTATCAACATCAGAATCAGTCTTTGCATTAAATTTTATATAAGGTTGGGTTTTTCATATCAGTGTTTGCATTAAATTTGGGTTTTCATACCTAAAATCTGCATTAAATTTGCCGGAATATTGGCTAGAAGGACGAGGGATGGTGAGGAGATAATGGTCACGGGCTAAATGTGGACAATCTGAAAGTAAGGGACTAAATGTGGAAGTGCTATAATAGTCACAGGACCAAAAGTGAAATTTTTTCAAACTAAATGCCAAAACTATGTATGCATAATTTTTTGTTCGGTTAGTTTTTATATTGGGATAACTATAAAATAAACCCTCAAACTTACATAAAAATTGCAAATCAGTCCTTTTATAAGAGGTTCTGTCCGACTGTCATCATTTGGGGTGGTTTCCGATTGAACTTTTTGATGAAATATTTTGATCATCTTCTTCACTAAGTCTAGTTTACCCATATCAAATTTTAGCTTAAAATTCTACCGAGAAGGCAGTCAAATGATTTTCTAAAATATACTACGTTGGCTAACTGCGCAGCTATCTTCAAAAATTCATTTGACTGCCTTTCCAATTGAATTTTTAGCTGACATTTGGTATGAGTAAACTATACTTAATAAATAAGATGCTCAAAAAGTTTCATCAAAATATTTCACCGAGAACCGCTCCAAATGGCGACAACCGGACAGAGGCTCCTATAAAAGGGTTTATTTGCATTTTTTATGTAAGTTCGATTACTTATTTGATAGTTCTCCCTTTTATATTTCAAATTTTGAAACTATAGTTTGGTTTATTTCGGTTTGTTTTTTGTCAAAGAAAAATTGCTAGTTGAAAGAATAGTCATTGCAAAACAAAAAAAAAATCTACATCATACAATAGTTATTTTTTTTAAAAAAAAAGGTAATAATGTCAATATAATACAAAAATTTAAAAAAAATGTGAAGAAACAATGTACTTCCAAGCAATAAATTAGAGTGTACATCTCCTTTAAAATAGAAATGAATATTGTATAATAAATTTATATATGAAGCATATAAGTGAAGCCGGAAGTTAAACTTTTAATCGTAAAGGTTGCATACATAAATTCATTTTAGTTTTTATTAAGAGATTTTTATTGATAATAAATAACTTTAAAAAGTTATTGATTTTCTTTTTAGACAAATGTATAATTTAGATGAATAATACACATTTTATCTAAGGTATAATTTAGATGAATTCATATTTCACATCCATTTTAAAAAGTGGCGCTATAACAAATAAAAGTAACTAACAGTTTGTCATGATAATATCAGTCATTTGTCATGAAACATATAGCCAAAATGCAAACAACAGCTAAAAAACAATAAAAACAATATATTAGCAGCAATATCATAAAAAATCATAATAATTCTAGTATTGAACATTAACTATTTAGAACTAAGAGTTAAGAACTAAAGAAATTATATTTAATACTTAATCGTTAATACATGAAATAGGTATTTGTATTCTTATTCGAATCGACAAATAGATTTGTATTCCTATATGTAATGTATTTATTCGAACACGAATCATCACTTTCAAAATCGAATTACGAATCGAATCAAAATTATTTGATTCATTTATAACCGTACGTTCAGGCCTCAACCAAGAGGTGAAGAGGGTGATGTTGATCCCGCCCTTCATTTACTGTCGCATACCATTATATTCGAATTGAACAATATTCAAATGGAAAATTACCTTATATAGAACTAAAATGTTTGCATATTTCAAAATAGGATTATCATGTTTTTATTTCCAAAACAGGAGTAACTACTGTCATATTTTGGCAGTACCAAACTTTAAACATGACAGTATTTTCCAAAATTGACAGTAATTACTCTTACTTTGAGAATAAAAATATAACAATCATATTTTGAAATTCTCAAACATTTTTACTCCTATTTCGAGAATTTTCCCTATTCAAATGGAAAATTACAAATTATACGTTCATATTTTTATTTATTTATTTTACATACAAACATACATACATATGTATGTGTGTGCAAATATTCATAATATGTAACACACATATAGGATAAAAAAAAATAAAAATAGCACTTCCCATGAAAAGTATGAATAAATCTAGAGCATTGGATTTATCTAATGGTTCTAAATATGTCAAAAATGCATTAAAGTTGATGAAAAATGCGATGACATTTTTCTTAAATAGTCAAAGTTTTTCTTCTTTGCAAAAAGTGAAATTTCTGCATACAAATAGTGTATCATAAATGATCAAAAGTGGATGGTAGAACATTTCTCAATGCAATAGTGTAACTCTTATGCTCAAAAGTGAAGGCATTCACATTTTGTATTTCAAGCCTACTTGGGTTGATTTCAAATGAGAAGACGTCTTAACGTGTAAAATAAAAATTAATCTGAACCGTCTAAACTATCAATTTGATGTAGAACAACCTCTATCTAATCCACTTTTGAATAACCTTATCTAATGCACTTGTTGAAAAGTGTATCAAATAAGGTTTATTCAAAAAGTGCATCAGATAATGTTTATTGTGCATCAGATTAATTTTTTGAACAACTGAGATTAATTTTTATTTTACACGTTAAGATCTTTTTTATATGATCCAAATTATATATATCTATATACATATATATATATATAGTAGTGTTCCGGTCAGGAATTCCTGACCGGAAGCGTCGTCCGGACGGCATCATTTGGGGCTCTTACCGCTGACATTTGTTGATGAAATTTTTATGCCATGTTCTTCGTCAAGTCTAGTTTATCCACAAAAATCAGCTAAAAACTCAATCCGGAAGGCTGTCAAATGATTTTTGAAATATAATGCCGCCGTAAAATACATATAAAACGCAGTTAACTTCCAAAAACTATTTGACGACCTTCTGGATTGAGTTTTTTGCTGAATTGTTTTGTGGATAAACTAGACTTGATCAAGAACATGCCATAAAAATTTAATAAAAAAATTCTTCCGGAAAGGCGGCCAAACGCCTCTGTCCGGATGGTGGTTCCTGTCCGGAATTCCGGACATGAACTTCTCTCTCTCTCTCTCTCTCTCTATATATATATATATATATATATATATATATGTATAGGGTGCGGCTCCAATGAGAAGAATGCTTAACGTGAGAACAGTCACATTTAAATCAAGGGAAAAATGGAAACTAATAATCCAACCTTTTAACGGTCTTCTTACAATAGTCCCACCTTTTGATTATTCATGAATAATCCAACCTTTGCACTCCATCTTCATTCACTGGTCCCTGACCGATTTATGAACTATTATTCCAAGTTATTTTTTTATCTTTGTAAAACATTATACCATAATTCCCACCTTATGTGAACATTATGTGATCATAAGGTGAGAATTATGGTATAATGTTTTACAAAGATAAGAAAATAACTTGGAATAATAGGTCATAAATCGGTCAGGGACCAGTGAATGAAGATGGGGTGCAAAGCTTGGATTATTCATGAATAATCAAAAGGTGGGAATATTGTAAGAAGACCGCTAAATCAATGGGATGCACAATGAAGCTCTTCGGATGCACATTTTCAATTTGCTCGAATTAAGTCTATATAAATAAACATGGTGGCATTTTCGTAAATATTGTAAAAACGTAAAAAAGTGCAATATACAAGCTTCATTGTGCAACACGTTGGGGTAAATGTGGTGTTCTCACGTTCTCACGTTAAACATTGTTCTCATTTGATCTTTATTCTGTATATATAGGGGATGGTTCAAGTAAAAAGTGGTCTTAACGTGAGTGCAATGTTTGCACTTTTTCATGTTTCGCTTGCACTTTTTCTTGCTTTCGTTGCACTTTTTCGCGGTAGCTAAAAAAATGGTTTATTTACAAAACTGTCACCGTCATTTAGGCCGAATTTGGCCAAAATCTATATGTTCAAAAGGTGCAACACAAACAAGAAAAAGTGCAAGTGAAACATGAAAAAGCGAAACATGAAAAAGTAGTCTTCCCGTGCAAAGTGTAAAGTTTTCACTTTTTCATGTTTCGCTTTCACTTTTTCTTGTTTGCGTTGCACTTTTTGGCCATTTTGATTTTGACCAAATTCAACCAAAATGACGGTGACAATTTTGTAAATAAACCAATTTTTTTGAACTACCGCGAAAAAGTGAAACGAAAGCAAGAAAAAGTGCAAGCGAAACATGAAAAAGTGCAAACTTTGCACTTTGCACGTTAAGATCACTTTTTATTTGAACCATCCTCTCTCTATATAATTCTGGAGTCCAAGATTAGTTTAGCTAAATCAGAATTACCGTATTCTAAATAATAATAATACCTCTTCCGCCTCAATGTGAGATGCAAAATCATTTTTTGTTGGTAAATAAGGATTCACTTTATTTACTTATTTAGCACATCGATTTTTCATTAAATTCTACTATAAATTTGTGATTTTATAGAACTTTCACACTAACTTCTTGATGGTACCATGGACTCTGACCATGGCCCAATTATGAAATTATAGATCAAGCCCTTAACGGGATCAAGCCCTCAACGGGATCAGTCCATAAATGGGATTAGCATAATTAGCCGCTGGGCCTAACTAGGAATCAAACCCACGACAGGAACCCATAGTCGGGCCAGGCTGGACAGCAGACCTCGAACCTAGGCGGAGTTCCATTGAGGTCGGGATGTTCCTAGGGCTTACGTGGCAGGCTATCATTTGTGAATAGCTATTTGGCAGCAGGCAGGAATAACAGAAGGAACGTGGAGTTAAGGGAACGATCAACACACAACGGGAAAAACGTTACAAGAGTTCTACTCGGACTAATATGTAACTAATAGCATT